CTGTCTGTGAGGATGGAGGAGACAGCCTAGGGAGAGGAGCTGGAGTTTAGGGGCCCAGTCTCCCCCCAACTCAAGGGGGCCTGAGGCATCCTAGCCCAGCTCTGTGACCAGATTACATCTGTGCTGTGCTGTATCCTGGAGAGGCAATAAACTTCCTCTATTCCACCGGCTGGTGCGGTCTGTTGGTGCCATTTCGGGGTGCAGGAGACAGGGGACCCCCAACGCGCCATCACACCTCCTACATCAGGATCATCTCCTGCATCCTGAAGATGAACACAGGTGAAGGGAGGCGCAAAGCGGCCTCCACTTGCGCCTCCCATCTGGTGGTGGTGACCATGTTCTTCGGGCCCTCCGCTTTGATCTACACTCAGCCACAGCTGAGCAAAGTGCTGGTGACCCCTGTGAACATTTTTGGCAACCTGGTCACGCCCATGGTGAACCCGGCCATCTACACGCTGCGCAACAAGGAGGTGAAAGCGGCTCTGAAAAAACTTAGCGGGGGTCAGAGGGCTGCCGGTTGATGTGCAGCAGGTGTAGAATGTGAGTCTGTTTGCAAACCCACCTATAAATACATCGACATGGTGCCTCAGTGACTCTCCCTTCACCCAGCCCCACACAGCCCCATGTATCTCTCTGGAGCTCTATCTGCCATAGGAATGCTTCTACAATCCTGAGCTGTCAGGCTGACATTTTCAATGCTGCCCGAGGGACAGTTTGCACTAGAATGAATCGGAACTAGAAGAATCACAAACTTTGTAGAGGTCTCTGAAAATCTCAGCCTCATAGCACAGATCTGTAGAGCTCCAACTCTTTCCATCCATCATTATAGGGCAGGATTTCCACTGCCAGGATCCTCATGGCTGCTGTGTGCATCTTCTCCAAGCTATCCGCCCCTGGCTTGAGTTGTGCAGCCAGACCCGGGCAGAGTATTCAACCGCCTCTCTCCTACTTAGAAATGTTCCCTTGTGTGTCCCAGGGTCACTTGAGCTGTGTGGCCCCAGTTTTGTAGTGGGAGCTCTTGTTCAGCTAAATCTACAGTCGTGCACTGCAGGGGGCTGCCGGAGTCTGCCTGCTGGTGTCTTTGCACTGGCCTGGGAGCCAATGTCTAAAGAGCCACAAGCCCAGACTCTGGTGCCTGGGAAAAGCAAACCGGGAATAGAAGGTCGGTTCACACACGGTGCACATCGATTTTAAAATCGAGGTGTCTGCTAATGCTCAATAGGGCACCTCCTTTGATCTCCAATCTCTGGGCACTGGGTTGCCCTAGAAGCAAAATCAGGGACAGCTGGTGGTTATAGTGATTAGTAACTGAAAACTATCAATTCAACACAACTACATTTGAATAGGCCATGGGAATTATTTGCAGAATGTTATGTTGTGACTAAGACAAAGGCTTGTCCCACAGGGAATCTGGTTTCAAGTCCCGTCTGGGCAGAGGAATCTCTGCTTGCCCTTCAGTGTGTCACTAAATTGCTTTGTACCTCAGTTTCCCCATTTGTTATACATGAATAATTACATCTTTTGTCATTCTCAGCCATTTGATGTGTATCGCATTCAGGCAGCGGCTGTCTATGTGTGTGTGCGCGTGCGCGCTGGATGCTGCATAAATGGAGCCAGGTCAGAGTTCCACACAATAGGCCCTACCATAATACCCATGATAATAATAGTGACAATACAAATAAAAATAGGACCATAGATTCCTAGAGCGCTAGCACCGGAAGGGCCCTAGGAAGGTCATCAAGTCCTACCCCAGCCCAGCAGGGCGATCGGAGAGACACTTCGGATTTGGTCTCGTTGCAGAACCAGGGCGCCGCCGCCTGGCCCTTTGGGGGGCAGGTTTGGTCTCAGCTCAGACCGATCCCCCGCCCGGTGTGTGTCCGGGGCAGTAGCACCCGGTGGCACCTTTGGTGCTTGAGAGCCGGTTTTCCGAGCGGATTGCAGGGCTGGGCAGACCCAGTGGTTGGGGGGGGAGGATTCCGCCCGCCAAGGGTGTTTTGCCCAGGCCTGTGTGAAATGCTCCACGTTTTGCTATTGACCATAAAAATGAGGGTGAAGGAGAGTAACTCTCCATTGCTGCCTGATTGGCAGATGTTGCGCTCTCAGGGCATTGACACCTCCAGGGCATCACAAGGGCGTGGGGCTCTGGGGTTCCTGTCCCAGGACTTGCAATCAGAGCATCTGGCCAGTCACAGCAGCCTCTGCACCTGCTCCAGGCTTGTGGTTTCCTTCTTCCCAACACTCCTCCCCAATCAGCCTTTTCCTGAACCAGCAGTTCCATGGGGGGCCACTGCTGTGTCCCAGAAGGGGATAGGAAAATGGGAAATGAAGGCTACAAGAGAGGCACCACTGGGAGCTGAACCAGGATCTCTTGTTTACTAGACAGGCGCTGAGCCAAGGCGCCCTCCCGTAGAAACAATTTTAAAATACTCTTCTTTATGGTGCCAGAGAAACCTCCAGCTTCCGAAGTGCAGCCCTTCCCCATCTCCCCCCGCCCTTCCAGTGTCCAGGCCACAGAAAGCTTCAGGCCAGAGACAGAGGCTCTGACAGATGCATTTCCCGCAGCCACCGTGGCAGTAGAGGCGCTAGTCCTCAGCGTGTTGTCTGCACCTGCCTTGGCTCTGCTCTGAGCCCCGGGAACCTTCCCATCGGCTCCCACCTTGGCATTGGCCACTTGCTAACACTGAGCCACGGGACAGCGTCTCTCTGCCGCGAACACGGTTCCCATCCCCAGGACTTTTGTACGAGAGGAAATGTTCAAACTGAGCCGAACAGACAAGCTGGGGGCAGCAAGGAGGCAGGGCCGGCTCTAGGTTTTTTGGTACCCCAAGCAAAAAATCCCCCCCCCTTATTTTTTGATAGAGGCATGAGTGGAGTGGAACTGGGGGCTTTCCTGGTACTTAGAGCCGGCCCTGCGGTGACGGCGCATTGGGGTCCCCCGTCTCCTGCACCCCGAAATGGCACAAACAGACTGCACCAGCCGGTGGAATAGAGGAAGTTTATTGCCTCTCCAGGATACAGTACAGCACAGATGTAATCTGGTCACAGAGCTGGGCTAGGATGCCTCAGGCCCCCTTGAGGTGGGGGAAGACTGAGCCCCTAAACTCCAGCCCCTTTCCCTAGGCTGTCTCCTCCATGCTCCCAGCCAGCAACTAACTCACCCTCTTCCAGCCCTGCCCCCCAGCCAGGGCAGCATTCCACCTTCCTTTGTTCCTCTCCATGGGGGGTGTCTGGCCATACTGGTTTGCATAGTGACTCATCCTGTTCTGGGTCGTGGTACCCACGGCAGCCAGTGGGGGTTACCCCAGAACCAGCAGCAGAGAAGCCAGCCAGGTACCCCCACTATGTCACAGTTCTCCCCCCTCCGAGAGTGAACTGAGCAGAGTCACTCCGCTCGTGACCTAGGGAGGTTCGGGTCCTCTGTGTGGGAACACGCCCTGGGGACACGGGTGCTCCCCTTGACTCGGGCTGGCCGTGGCCCCCGTGTAACCGCGCTGCACGGGGTTCGAACTAGCGGGGTTTTAAAAATGGTGGCGCCCCGCTTATGCAAATGAAGCCCGGGAAATTCAAATCCCGGGCTTCATTTGCAAGTGCGGTATGCCTACATTACCCCACTAGTTCGAACTAGCGGGGTAGTGTAGACATACCCCTAATGTGTATGGCTAGAGAATGAGAAATATGGGGTCAAAGAAACAGCATTTTGGAGCTTCCGGACATGCTCCACAAATCCCCTTATTCTGTCTTGGGCCTTCCCGCACCTCTGGCAGGCGTCACAGGACCAGCAGTACCGCTGCACGGCTGTAAAGATTCCCGGCCAATAGAAGTGTTGGAGCAGCCTCAGCTGGGTGCTCCGGATCCCCCCGTGGCCCCCAATGGGGACATCGTGGGCCAAATACAGCAGCTTGAGGCGATACTTTCGGGGGACGACCAGCTGCCGCTGGGAGCCCAGCGAGCCTTCTCTGGACAGCCAGGGCGGCTTCCACCCCCGATGCTCCATCCAGGGAGGTCTTCCCCTCCCATAACTCTCTCAGCAAGCCCAGAGGGTCTATCTGGGGTAGAGACCCCCAAGCCGCTTTCCTCCTGTCTTGGGCCTTCCCGCCCCTCTGGCAGGAGTCACAGGACCGGCAGTACCGCTGCACGGCTGTAAAGATTCCCGGCCAATAGAAGTGCTGGACCAGCCTCAGCTGGGTGCTCCGGATCCCCCGGTGGCCCCCAACGGGGACGTCGTGGGCCAAATACAGCAGCTTGAGGCGATACTTTCGGGGGACGACCAGCTGCCGCTGGACACCCCATGCCCTCGCCTTCCTGGGGGGGAGCCACTCACGGAACAGGAGCCCACGCTCCCGCAGGAATCTCTCCTGGCCACCTCTCCCCCGGGGCTGAGCTGCACGGAGGCCAGCCTGGTCCCTCAGCCTCTGCAAGGAGGGGTCTGCCTGCACCTCAGCCTGGAATTCAGCTGCTGAGGCAGGTATCAGGGCCTGTTCCCCACCTTTACCTAGGTCCAGAGTCCCAGCCTGGATGGACCCCGTGTCCACTGGGATGGGACCCTGAGGACGCTGCCAGGAGTCCTTCCCTGGACCCATGTTGTCAGCCCCCCACTGGCTCTGGAGGGGATCGGGAACGTTCACGGGTCTCTGAGCCGGGCCATTCTCGTGGGCCCGTCAGGCCGGCTGGAAACCGAGCCAGGCAGATACACGGGAGCGTTGTGAGCAACAACCCCGAGTACAGGCAATGGAGAGTCACAGCCAGAGCCCCGCCCCCAGTGTGACCAGTGGCCCAGTCCCCAGTGTCTCCGCGCTGTTGAAAACCCGCTTCCCGATGTTAGTGCAGTCCCGGCTCTCCCCTGCGTCAGTGTGTGTCCTGCGCAGCACTAGGGGGCGCTGTCTGAATTTGTCAGCGAGCGGAGCTGCAGCGAGACCTGGCTCCTGGCGGTGTCTGCCGAGACGGTGACTCGGCCCTGGAGGGAGGGGGCGAAGTCTCTTTTCCAGTCCTCGTTGCTACTTTCATAGCACATCTGCCCCCTCCTCGATGGGGCTCTCACAGCGCTGGGGAGAGAATGAGAAATGACGTCATTAATTCTCGCCATTCATGTCTAGGGGTTGCCTGGGAATCGGCTGTGGGGCAGGGGAATAGTTTAACCAGCGCTAGTGGGTTCAGCTCCCGTGGTGCGATGATGGGGGTGGGGGATGGGATTCGTGTTTGTTGTGAGCCCGGAGGTGCGAACATTTCTTCTCTCTGCTTCTGTGTGGTCTGATTCGGTGGGAATTGAAGCTCCAGGCCGGGAGATTCAAGGTCATTTCATGCGATTCGGTGCCTGGATCCCACAGCCGCTCAGTGCGATTCTTCTTCCTTTACGCCCTTTAGGACGAGGGCGCCCCAGTTCGCACCGCGTCTGTGTGATGTAGTGTTGGTACCTTGCTGGTTGCTATGCTGGGCTGTGGGTGACCTCCACTGGCCGCTATTTGTAACACAGCCCAGCAGAACAGGAGATGAGTCATTATCCAAGGGGCTCCCAACCTGTCCGACCAGTTGGCTCCCAGGGAGAGAGACAAAGGGAGTGGCAGGGAGAAGCATCCATGTGACTCAATTGGGTGAGTTCCCACTTGTAGGTGTTGCTTCAAGGACAATACCTGCCATAGATTTTCAGTTTGTCATGGCATCACAGGGTGAGAGGAGCCCAGGCTGGGGGGAGCCAGGGCTCAGTGGCCCCACAGATCTGGTAGCATGTGAGGGAATCCCCTCACAGCCTTTGAACAGTCCCTGCAGATGTTCCCTGAGACAACACAGAGAGGTACCGAGCACAAGACCGCTAGGCTGGCAGATGGGAACTCTGCACCAAGAGAGCAAAAGGCCTTAAGAAAAGCCTCCTCTGGCCCCAGATGGGTTTCTGGGCCTTTTCCTTCTCCGTATTTCCTTCTGAGTCTTGCGACGAGAAACTGCCGGGATCTTTTGCCAACATTTGCATTGCTGGGCACGTGCAGAGCTGCCTGATTCCTCAAGAGGTGGAGGAAATGGTGGGAAGAGCAGACACGTTTCCCCAGGCATCACTGGGAGCTGCGTCCCCCCCCGCCCCCTCGACCTTACCTGGCAGCTTAGCCCTGGTGCCGCCCTCTGGGACTTTTCTCCCAAACGTTCCTGTGTTGCCATTGACCATCCAAAGGGAGGCAAGAGGAGAGTAACTCCCCATCGTTGCCCGATCTGCAGAGGTTGCGCTTCAGGGTCTCTGGGCGCTGACAGCCCAAGGGAGTCACAGGGGCGTGGGGCTCTGGCTCTCCTACCCCAGCACTTGCAGTCAGAGCCCTGCCTTGCCCATGCCAGTCCCAGCAGCCCCTTCACCAGCTCCGGGCTTGTGGGTTCATTTTTTCCCAGTGCTCCTCTCCAATCTGCGTTTTCCTCAACAAGCCATTCCTTGGGTGGCCAGTGGAGGCCTCTTCTGTTCCCCACCTAAGCCACGACAACCCCTTCCATAAGCTACTTTATGCTTCAAGACAACCCCTTCCGTTTCCGAAGTGCAGACTTTCCCCATTTCCCTCGGGACTTCCAGAGCTACTCTAAGAAAAAGCAAAATATAGGCACGCGGATGCCCTGAACGAACAGCTGCTGAGGGTATTTGAAGTCTCTTCCCAGTCTTTTGCCGCTCCTCTAAGGGAATCCCTAAGCAGGTGCACAGGGGACACATTGAAATGTGGCCGCTTCTCCACGTGGAGAATAAAAATCATGTCAGGGGTGGGATTTGAACCCACGCCTCCTTGAGGAGACCAGAACACCCACTTGGGGGGAAGAAAGGCTCTTGAGTCTGGCGCCTTAGACCACTCGGCCACCCTGACAATGATACACAAGCCTTTCTCTCAGCCGCACCTTTCTTAAATGTTGGAGTTGCTCAGGAAGGGGGGGGGTCTTTCTCTTTGACCCCTCCCAGCCATTGCTCAGCGCCGCCAATGGACACACACACTCACACTCCCTACAGCGGTGCGGTGGTTTGTGGTGAGCTGCAAGGAAATGGGCCGGGGGCGGGGCCAATAGAACGGGGGTCCCAGGCCGGATGTGACGCAGCATCGCGCTGTTCTGTCTCCTGGCAGGGGGGTTCCAGAGTCCGGCTGGGCACAGAATGTCCCGCTGCTGGTTCCCCTGCCCGCCGGCCAATGGGCAGCTGGGAAATCGCAGAGGGAGGGGTCTGCCTGGGTCTGTCACGCACCCTGTGACACAAGCTCATGGGAACAGACCCGCGGTGCGAGTGTTTGATTTCCTGAGCCAGGGCCGGATTCAGGAGGTGAATAGACCCGAAGGTCCGATTCCCCTTAGAACCGCGTTCTCCAAAGGGCACTTACCTCCCTGGAAGGTTGACGCCGCTCCTGTAGCTCCGCAGGGGTTTGATTTAGCCGCTGTAGTCGATCCCACTCCGGACACGGCCTTCACAGTCTTTGTGTGGAGAAATGACCTCACTTCCACGTCTCCCCTAACACTGCGAGAACCGGTGCTTAGGGCTTCCCTCCGAGGAGTGGCTGGAGAAGCTGGAGGGGATTGAAACACCTTCCGAAACTGCCCATTCCGGGCACCTGGATGGGTAAATTCGGAATTCTCTTAGCGTAGGTGTGGAAGTCCTGAGGAAAATGAGGCCCCTCTCTGCTTTGGAAAGTGAAGGTGTTGTCTTGGACCATGAAGTAGAACAGCTGGAAGGCCTGACCGTCAGATCGTAGCTTAACTGGCTAAAGCGCCTGCCTTATGAACTGAAGAGTCCGAGTTCGGCTCCTAGTGGTGCATTGTAGCTTCTTCTCAGGTTCTCCGGCCCCCTTACTGGAAACAGACGAGACCCCCCACTGGGCATGCCAGTAAATGTTAGCAAAGACATGATCGTTGACTGACAGAAAGAGTTGGCGTCTCACCGCTAGGATCTTCCTTTTTTCACCCTGTTGCTGCGCCTAGCGCGGGATCCTCCATGGAAGGGAGAAAGACGATTCCGCCTCGAGATTTCCTATCAGCCTGTCCGGATTCCCCTCGTGTCGCTCGCACAGTAATAGCGGGCGGTGTCCTCGGGCCTCAGGCCGGTCATTTGCACATAGAGCAGATTGTTGGAATTGTCCCTGGAGACTGTGAATCGGCCTTTAACCGAGTCTGCATAGCGCTTGGTGCCCCCATCCGCACTAATGTCAGAGACCCACTCCGGCCCCTTTCCGGGAGCCTGCCTCACCCAGCTCATCCAGTAGCTGCTGAAGGTGAAGCCGGAGGCTTTGCAGGAGAGGCGCAGAGAGTCTCCGGGCTTCTTCACATCCCCTCCGGACTTCACCAGCTGCACCTGGCACCGGGCACCTGGGAACACAGACAAAGTATCTCTATTGATGTCCACACAATGGGGATTTAATATTCTTCTGCCGTTATTCAGAGGACGAAAATACCTTCTCGAGACGCTGCAGCGATACACACAAGGAGCAAAAAAAATCAGCTGCGACCCAAATTCTCATTGTCCCTGGTGATGAAGGGAAAGTTTTCAGGGAAGTGGCTGGTCACTGCCCAGACCCAGGGGGCTGCGGATTGTCCCTGCTGGTGCAGCCTGGGCAGAGGGAGGGACACATGTAAATAGCGCGCGGGTTCCCTTATTTGCATACCCCGCTGCTTGTGAGAGCCCCGAGCTGCTCCTGCCAGTGATGGGCTTGACTCGCCCCAGGGCTCTGGTCACAGAAATGCGACTGACCCGGGCTGGGCACCTCCTGGCACGTTTGGACCCCTGGAAGGAACGAAGCCGGCGGTGACTGTTTCCTCGCACAGGGGATGAGACACTGGCTCTTGCCAAGTGTTCTGGGAGCCAAGGGCCTGACTCCTAAAGCCCTTTTGGCAGCGCCCTTGGGGCGGGTCCGGTCCTGGGAAAGACCCACGTTTCCTGCCGCTTGCTTCTGCCCCAGCCAGCTTCTCCGCTCCGGTCTCCTGCAGCTGGAGCTGACTGTGTCCTACGAACGCAGGCCTATCCTGAAAAGTGATTTAGGCACTTAGGGCTCTAAACCCCTTTAGCTGTCTCTGATTCTAAGTCACTGGGGGCGGGGGGGGGGAATG